ATATTATATATATATTTGAACTATATATATCTTTTCAAACCTTGCAGTCAACCTGTTCATAACTGGGCTTTGAAAGTGCACATTTAGGATACTTGTTTGTTCCTGCTGAAAGCCATGTTCTGTTAAGCTAATCCAGAGGTTCCAAAACTGTTAGCTGAGGCAAGTGAAAAATAAACATGCAAGAGTTTGCTGATGCTATCATGTTACCCATTATTGGTGTAAGATTCAAAATATTTCCTTTAATAAAGTTAATTATTGATAAAAATGGTACGATGTAGGGCATGAGTTAATATTTTGCCTCTGAACGGGCATGCTAGAAAGAGTGTTGGTTATGTTAGCTATGCTAGCATTTAGCATGCAGATACAGAGTGATAACATCATATACAGTATGATAACAAACCTCTACACTGTCTTTAACCAAACTCCTCCAAATGTTAAAATACTAACAATGGTATGGCCACTTGTGGTGTCAAGCATTAAGTCATAATTTTGACTTTTTTTTCTCTTTGTTTTATCATGCTAACCTAAACCATTTAGGATAATATCAGTAGGTCATTTTGATTCATGCATTTATCTTTTTTTTAATATTGTAAGATCTTTACCTTACCATATAAACCATCTTAGGCAACTGTTTTTGTGAATTGGGGGTGTATATTTAAATATTAATATGAGGCCTAATGAGCGTGACAAAATGGTACTGCAATTTTCTCTTTAAGATTTTCTTCAGTGTCTTATATTTTTTTGGTCTCAAACGTGACCTTAAGAGAACATCTTTAAGCCAACTAGAGTTCATATATGTGTTATAAAAATTCCCTGTCTGTACCTTTGCTCTATACCTTTTTGTATCATTACAAGAATAGAAACAAGCTGATATGAACTGCAATAAAAGCACTGCATTACCACAGGCTGCACATGTACAATCACGTACACCTAAGATAATTGAACCAGGCTGCCTGTCGTTTTATGAGCAATGCTTTACAGTAAAAGAAAAGGTAAATAAATAAATAATGTAGCTCATCCTATTTTAACAAACAAATAAAGTTCACTCCGAGTGTATTCCCCCCCCCCCACATGAGTTTCTGTGGTAGACAGCGTGTGGCTTTGTAAGCATCGCTGCTGAAAATATGTGTTAACTCTAGTGCTCATTCAAACCACATTCTTTATCACTGTCCAAACAAAACAGGTCAGTCTCAGATGTTGCGGCTCTGCGAAGAAACAGACAGGAAATGGTGGGCGAGTGCTGAGGAGCTGAAGGGGCCACAGCTTGCAGCGGCTTATCATGTCTGTTCAGTTGAAAGTAAACTGAGCATGAGATGGAAATACTGTAACAACTATGCGCCGTCTGACCTTCATGGATAAGCGCAAAATCACACTAAGCCCTTTAAAAAAAGAAGAAAAAAAAGTTGTTTTCTTTGTTTCACATTCAGAAAAATTAACTCTGAAATGAAGTCATCATAACAGGATTATGTAAGTACAGTAGGTAATTTGTAAGCCTGTTCTGTCGTTTATCCTGATAAAAAATAAGCAGAAGAGAATGGTTAGACGGATGGATGGAATAATCCAAGAATAGATGGCTGAAACCTAAAGAATGACAAGGAAATGTGAAAATGTGACTCTTCAATGCCTAAATGAAATAACAGTAATACCGTTCTAACTATAAGACATTCAACTCTGTGAGGTTGCAAACTTTGCCTTGATCTAAATTTGTTCGCATGCAAAAAATCTACCTAGTTTACCATCTTAGTCAGCAGTTCTTTGGTTTTTACTGGCATGCAACACCGTGTACTGCTGATGTAATGCCAATGAATGGTGGGTGAGTTTGGCAGGTATGTGGTCGGAAAACAAATAAGATTAACTGAAACAGATGCCACCAATTATGAGAATTGATATTCATTCTTTTTTCAAAGTATTGAGCTTTATGTCAAATAGATTTTTACACCTGTTAGTATAGTAATTTTTTTTTAAAAAAAAGAACCTCATGGAAAAGTCAGCAGTGGCTAATAATTATTGGGATTATTCAGCACAAAATGTTATGAAAGATTTCAGTTTTGTATGTGACATTTGGCTTAATTAGTTGAGCTTGACTCAAACATTGTTATAAAACTATGTCAGTAATTCCGTGTTAAGCCCTTCGTTTATTAGCCCTAATTTTCAACAGAATAACATCTTTAAATATTATTGTTTGAAGCCTGTATTTTTTAGACGTATACGAGACAATTCAGCACAAAGAGTCTGTGTATGTGTGACGTTGTAAAATTAGTAATTTGTGGGTGTTTTCTTGTGCTAATCCAAATGTATGCAGTTGGTTTTTTGACAGCTGACGATGCCTTATTGACGTAAAAATTTTGCATTGTGGATTACAATTCAGTGCAGTGAAGGATCAGCTCGTTCCATAATCCAATTTGCACAATGCTTAACTGAACAAACCAGAAATCAAGAGCACAAGAGATTTACATTGTGCATAATTTATCAAGATATTTGAGTGGACATAGCAGTTTTTAGCAACCAAAATTTATTTAACTCATTTGTTATCTATTAACTCAAATTACTGTTATATTATTCTTTCACTTTCCTGGTTCACTACGTACAGAATTTTGTAATACAATATGGTAAAGTGAGCCAAACAGCCTGGTAAGACTATGAAGTCATTAAAAATTATGGAGCTAATAAGCAGATCAGTCTGAACAGTGATATAAGCAATTTCATCAACAATTCATAGCAGCCGAATATCAAATTCATTTAAAGGCATTATTTGAAAACTATTTCATGACTAAGCATGACGGCTAGCATAATTGGAGACTGAAAACACCACTGCCTATTTTATTGTTCGTATAAAATACATTATGGACAGATGCGGCAAAAGCAAATGGGATTGAATATCTGCTTTAATATATTTTAGGCGAGTGTTGATTCATTTATGCCCAAGGAGAAAATGTACACCTCAACAATTGAGTTTCAATGTACAAGCTGGAATGTGGAACAAGCCGGTGCTTCGGTGCGCTTAACAGTTTACACGTTTTCATTCAATCTGCCATCAAACATTTACATTTGCATTTCTTATTATACAATTTTCAAAGCTATACTTACATACATACATACAAGAACCACTAAGTCATTTTCAAAGTTCAAAGAGCAACATTTAAAACTCACACCTTTACCATTTTTTTCTTTTCCAGGAACGACTTTGTTCATGTAGATATACTCCTCATCAGCACCTGTAAACAGAGACAGCAGAACGTGATTAACTGCTGAGAGCAGTGCACTTTGGCATAGATGTTTTTGCTCTGTGGTTGGCTACCACAAACACCTTTCTTGAATTTAAGCAAACGTTACAAAACAACAAACACAAATGCCAAGAAAATATGAGCTTATGCACAGGTATTTTTGGGTTTTTTACTGTTTAACGCTTGCTTTAAATTCCCAAAGTTGATTTTTTTGATTTGGTTGAATATATTCGCAGTGTGACTTAACTGCAAACAATAACACGGAAAGAATGCATATTTTTCTTTCCCTTGAGACAGCTGATGGGAAAATCTGATTCCACCTTGGTGCAAAACAAACTTCCATCGTGCTTGTCAAAAAGAAGTCCAGGATAAAAGGGAAACTTCACCCAAACAAGTAGTCCATTGTGCACATAGATAGGGCCACTATTCACACCCACTCTTACCGTGGAAAGCATTCATCAGGCATTAGTCAGAGTACTCCTTGCCTGCACAGATACAGCACTGTGTCACGTCTGTAGTGGAAGTTTTACATTGCTTTTTAATATACAAGACAACTCCTGAACTTAATCCACCTGTTCATAACAATCATGCATTCACAAAAACTTTGCATATGACTCTAAAAGTGATCCAGTTTCTGTTTCTTTTGCATGGTTAGAGAAGCTGATCATAACCAGACTAAGGAACTAAAGAATGAACTTGACTTCACTTGCACTCAACTCTTCAGGCAAAAAGTGGAGATGATGAAACCTTCTGACATACATCAATGCTAGAGTCAGCGAGGAAAGGACTACAGCTGGAGTCATGTCACTCTCAACATGGTGGAGTAATTACAAGCTGGTGAGGACATCGCCATAACATTGCCACATAAACAGTCTGAACGAAGGCCTTTTCTTGAACAATAAACACAGAGGTTGTGGCTACGAAGGCTCCAGTTGGTTACTGTAACCTGTTATGGGAATTTGTTCCGGAGCTGCAGCACAGTTTTTCACTGGAATTAAATATTTTAGCTGACTTAGATTAGAGGAAATCAAACAAAACTCTAACCTTGGGTGATACTGCGGAGAAGGGCTTCTCCTTTGAAATAGATATCATGAGGTGAAACCAAACAGCAGCAGCATAAAATGATGTTTTGCCTGTACAGTGAAAACAGATTTTCGGGGAACAAAGTTGAAATGCTATTTATAAATTGCTGCTCAGAGGAAGTGAGCATCCCCAGAGGATAAATGCAGCTTCGGAAAAATGATACAGCTTGGAGCCAGAAGAGGAAGTATGGAGAGACGAGTCCAAGACCTGAACATGGAAAAGCTTGACTGCTGGTGTGTGTTAGTGAACAGTGTGAGAGCTCTCTGAGAAAAACAGGGCGAAAGAGAGTTGACTTTTATAATCCAGAAGTGAGAAGGTGACAGCAAATGACAAAAATGGCAAAGAATCGGGTCATTACAAAAACCAAACAAACAAACAAACAAAAAGTCATCATATTTGTGTCAAACTATTTTTGAGGTAGCGGTAGCATGTCATTAATTCAATAGTTGCTTCAAAGATTAAGTAGCTGGCATAGAGCACCATAAATCACATCAGCCCACCAGCAGTTACAAGAAAAAATAAACTCATCTGAAGCTGTTTAAAA